AAAACAGTTTTCCTGGAACACGTTACAACATCAAGCTGCTGTTTTCAGATTTAAACGCTCCTGAGTCTGTTTCTGTAAAGTCTTTTTAGGCACATTTTGAAGTGTCGCATTAGAAAAAGTTTATAGGAACGGCAAAATTTGCAAACAACATCTCAATTTCACAAAAAAAACTTTATTTAAAAAAACAAGATAGTTGTCATGTTTCTTCCTCCTCTTCTATTGCTGCCATCGTCTGTTTAATTTTGGAAATGACAGCTTTAAAACACAAAACAAAAACACTGTTTTCCTGGAACACGTTACAACATCAAGCTGCTGTTTTCAGATTTATACGCTCCTGAATCTGTTTCTGTAAAGTCTTTTTAGGCACGACTTTAAGTGTCGCATTAGAAAAAGTTCATGGGAATGACAAAATTTGTGGAAAAAAACCCCCCTCAATTTCACAAAAAACTTTATTTAAAAAAAACAAAGTAGTTGTCGTGTTTCTTCCTCCTCTTCTGTTTCTGCCATCGTCTGTTTTGTTTCAGCCATGACAGCTTTAAAAAACAAAACAACAACACTTTTCCTGGAACACGTTACAACATCAGGCTGCTGTTTTCAGATTTATACACTCCTGAGTCGGTTTCTGTGAAGTCTTTTTAGGCACAATTCAAAGTGTCGCATTAGAAAAAGTTCATAGGAACGACAAAATTTTCAAAAAAAATTTCTCAATTTCACAAAAAACTTTATTAAAAAAAACCAAAACAAAATAGTTGTCATGTTTCTTCCTCCTCTGTTGCTGCCATCGTCTGTTTTGTTTCAGACATGACAGCTTTTTCAGAAAAACACAGTTTTCCTGGAACACGTTACAACATCAAGCTGCTGTTTTCAGATTTAAACACTCCTGAATCTGTATCTGTAAAGTCTTTTTAATGCACAATTTGAAGTACCGCATTAGAAAAAGTTCATAGGAATGACAAAATTTGTAAAACCTTCCTAGATTTCACAACAACACTTTGAGGCGGTTTTTGAGTTCAACAAACCTCTTTGTCGTCTGTTTTCCTTGCTCAGCGCTAAGCTGCTGTTTTCAGGTTCATACACTCCCAAGTCTGCTTTGAATATGTTTAGTTTTCAGGTGAGAAAATTGGCCTTGAGGTGTGGACCAAGGAGGACGGAGCGTTTGTGATTATCAGTGTAGCTGCTGACTGGTGGCACAACAGCTTGTATTTCACTTCAAACAATGAAAACTGTCAAATCATCCATAAGAGTATTTTTAGGCTTCAAGTTCCCACATTTTACACACTTTACTGCAGGAGCTGTGGTTCTGTTGTGTATTTTTATGCATATTTTGAAGCATAGCATTAGAAAAAGTTCATGAAAATGATTTTTATTTCATAAATAAGTTGATGCATCTACTGTCAGATCAACTCAGGAATAAGGAACGTTTAGCTCACATGACTCATCACGACTTTCCCGAATGAAAACAATGCAAGAAGACTTCTGTCCGTTTTCCTCTGGATTGACGAAGCTTTGTTTAGGTTTTTCTTCTTCTTTGAAGTTTTTTAGCTGGTGGTAAACGACTGTCTTCTTCTGCTCTGTTTAGACAGTCATGCATAATGTAGGCGATACGCAACCTCCCGACAAACTACGCAGCTCAGTTTAATGGAACCAGGACTAATTTGCATTTTATTTAATTTGTACATTTTTTTGACATTGCAAAAGTTTGCTTCAAATCTGCCTAATAATTATATAAAAATGGTCTCCACTTGTATTAAAGTTTATACAAAGATAAAAATAACTAACTATGGACACTGTATTCATTCAGTCGGAGGTTGTTCTTCTGACTAGTTCAGTCAGTAAATATCACGAAAACAATGAAAAATAGCACCTGCTGCTATCAAGAGTTTCAGGAACATCTTGTCTTTTCTTATCCAACCTGCAGCGATATAGAAAGAGAAAAGCAGCTGTCCACTAATTAATTATCTGCAACTCTTGTTAATAATTGATTAATCTGTTTGAGTAATTTTTGGGGGGAGAAAAAATTCCAATTCTCTGATTCCAGCTTCTTAAATGTTAATATTATCTGTTTTTTTTTCCTTCTCTGTGACAGTAAACTGAATATTGTTTTGGTTGTGGGCAAAACAAAAACATTTAAGGGCACTTAAACGAACTAATTATTAATTAGCTGCAGCTCTGGTCTTCTTTGCTGTGAGACAGAATGTATTTGTGTGTTCTAGTGTGTTTACCGCACACATCTCAGTAGGTCGAAATTGGCATTTTTCACTGTTTTCTAAACGAACAGGTAATTGAAAATATGTTCAACAGGTTATTAATTCATGAATAGCTGTTTATCTGTGACACACATGCACACCAGGCTTCAATAAGGACCCAGTCGAGACACTCACCTGCTTAAAAACATCTATTAAATGGTTATTTCTTGTGTTTCTCCAGGTTTAGTTGATCTGTTCCTGTGTGTATTTTGCCTCTGTGATGAACTGTGAACTCCTGTGTTTTTCAGGTTGACCCTCCCCAACCTCCTCAGACAGATATCTATAAGCACTTCATACGAGGGGATGGCACTGGAAGCAAGATGGGCGTGGCCGGCGGAGGTGCGGGCGACAAGGCCGACTCCACCTCCCCGTATCAAGCCCAGGCGCAAGCTGCCACTCCCACCGCTTCAGCCCCGCCCCCCAAGGACCCGTCCGAACTGTCGGACCCGCAGCGGAAGAAGGTGGCCAAATACCGAGCCAAGTTCGACCCCCGGGTCACAGCCAAGTACGACATCAAGGCTCTGATAGGTCGCGGGAGTTTCAGCCGGGTGGTTCGCGTGGAGCACAAGAGCACGCGGCAGCCGTACGCCATCAAGATGATCGAGACCCGATACCGGGAGGGCAGGGAGGTGTGCGAGTCGGAGCTGTGCGTCCTGCGTCGGGTTCGTCACACCAATATAATCCAGCTGATGGAGGTGTTTGAGACGGCGGAGCGCGTCTACATGGTGATGGAGCTGGCCACCGGGGGGGAGCTCTTCGACCGCATCATCGCTCGCGGCTCCTTCACCGAGCGGGACGCCACCAGGGTCCTGCAGATGGTGCTGGACGGCGTCAAGTACCTCCACACTCTGGGGATCACGCACCGAGACCTGAAGCCGGAGAACCTGCTCTACTACCACCCAGGGGCCGACTCCAAGATCATCATCACCGACTTCGGCTTGGCCAGCAGCAGGAAGAAGGGCGACGAGTGCCTGATGAAGACCACCTGCGGCACGCCGGAGTACATCGCCCCCGAGATCCTGGTGAGGAAGCCCTACACCAACGCGGTGGACATGTGGGCGCTGGGGGTGATATCGTACATCCTGCTGAGCGGAACGATGCCCTTCGAGGACGACAACCGCATGAGGCTCTACCGGCAGATCCTCAAGGGGAAGTACAGCTTCTCCGGAGAGGTGAGGACCCAGATCTGCTGCTGCTCTCTTCTCTCTTTCCCCAGCAGACTTCACCCATATTTGGAATACATTCCTCACACTGCATGAGGCTTTGTCAACAGATTTCCAAGAAGTTGAGCTTTTTTTTTTTGTGAGGTGACACACATTTGTAGACAACCTTCGCTCTTTTGTCTTTTACCTTTTACTCTGCTCGCTCTTGTTTATTTGCCATCCCTCTAAGTGTCCACACAGTAATTTGTGCTCCATCTATGCCGAGTGGTCCGCTCGTTGATTTCGTAGCGTGGGACGCTAATGTAGCCGCTGAGCTTTTCAAAGAGGCCCTCGGTTAATGTTTGCCACACGTTTGGCCACTCCAGCGCAAATAATAGCTGAGTACTTTTGTAATATTTAATGAGAGGCAGTTGAGTCATCTGCATTTTCTGGGGATTTATCTAAATTTGAAGTTCTGTGTCTTGACAGGTAAGGTAAGGTCAGATCTGACACGGTGAATAATTGAATTGACTCACGGGGGAGCCAGTATTTCATCTGAAGTCTGCAAATATTGAAGCGGAGCTGCTGGATGAATATGCCGCATGTCCAGCGAGTCGTCCTTGGAATTATATTTTCATTGGAATTGACTGCTCGGCCTCCTTAGGATGATGCAGTGGGTGCTGAGTAGAGTTTCAGAGCTTCAGTGTAACATCAAGACAGCAAGTTTAAAAAAAAAAACAAAACAATACCTGATGAGAGCCACAACAGAGCCATCTTTATTCTCTGTCAACTTGAGCACAGAGGAACGCCCAAAAATGTCTTTAACCTTCTGAACCTCGAGTAGTTTTTGATCGTTTTTGGCTTCTGTTATGTTTTACTCACTGTGGGTTCATTTTTTACTGCAATATAAAGTTGAAAATCTCTGTGGAAACACTACAGCCACGGCCAGAAGTACAGAGAACTCAAAATGTCTTCTGTGCAGTGTGACACAGTTTTTATTATTCATTTATAAAAAAAAAAACAATTTTTTAAATGGATGAAGAGATTTTTTTTCTCCATACAAGGGTCTAGGGTGGACAATCCTGGTCCTGGAGGGCCACAGTCCTGCATGTTTTAGACGTTCCCCTCTTCCAACACACCTGATTCAAATGATCAGGATGGTTATCAGGCTTCTGCAGAGCTTGATGATGAGCTGATCATCTGAATCAGGTGTGTTGGAAGAGGGGAACATCTAAAACATGCAGGATTGTGGCCCTCCAGGACCAGGATTGCCCACCCCTGGTCTACATACTTTAGATACTTAACTATGTACATTTTTAGTTTGTGTCCACCCTTGTCTCTTATCTGCTCTGTGAAAACACAGCCTGCACTTCAGCTGAAAAGTCCCTCAATTTCTGTCACACCGCTGTTGGTCACAGCTGAGTCACTAATGGCCTCTCGGTTGCACCAAGCACATGTAGGTGATTGTGATGAAGTATCATGATTTTAAGCCAAGAGTTGGATAATATTTGTCATCGAAAACCAAAAGTCACACATGAAAAGTTGGAAAGTTTAACATCCAACAATTCTTTCTGATAAATGGTGTTATTGTGGAGATAATAGCTGCATTGTTGGGCCACTTAGAGGCTCCAGAAACAAGCTGTAAAGTAGAGCAATGACATTTTTTTTAAATCTGTGAAGTTTGCAAGCATTTGTCTTTACAAATCCAAAACACACAGTAACATTTATTTATTGTTTTGTGTGTTTTTGGACAGGTACACTGCAGTTTTTTGCTGTGTTTTTTGTGACACTCTATTGTTGTTTAATTTTTTTTTAATTTTGTGAAATTACAGATGACCAGTAAAAAAAAAAAAAGTATAAATTTACATATTAACTGTAAAAAAAAATTTAAAAAGGAGAAAAACAGGCCAAAACTGTAAGTATTGTCCACATCAAAAGTCTTTTAACAAACAGTAATTTTTATTTTTTACAATTTTTTTTTTAACAATTTTTAAAAATTGTATTTAAATTATCTAGAAATAGTGTTATCCAGATATTTGCAGCTGTTTGCAAGAAAAAAGTATGGATTATATCTATTTTTTTTAATATTACCTACTGAAATCACAGACAAAAGTATTAATTCACATGTGAGCTGCAGATTTTACAGAGTAGTTTGTTCTTCTACAGTGCGTGACTGTAAAAATACACAGTATTATTGTATTTAAATCAGCTAGAAGTATAACTATTGTACAGATGTTTGCAGTAACATCACAGTTTTTGAACATTACAATATGCCATTGTTTTTTAAAGCTGTTTTGTGGCCCCTACATTTTCCTTTCCTTTTTTTACAGTGTAGTATGCGCTGCTAAAAACAGCCGTCTGCGGTTTGCAAAACCAGCGCTATGTGAATAAATCACCTCACACATGCTCATTACAGCCATTGTTATTGCAGCAGTATTGATTATGGTTGCTGTAGAGCCGTGGTGAGTTTACTTGTAAATAATTTATGTTCACATGCAGCATTTTGCTCATCCAAACGTGTTTATTCTTACAAGCCTGCATTTCAGTTTTCAACACTATTGTTCGCTGGAGCGTCGTGCACCTCGCAACCTTTTTCCCTCTCTGCCTTTATTGGGTGTTTCTTGGCACGCCTCATACGAGCGTAGAGCCCAAATCTCAAGTGGCTCGTGAGGGGAAATTCGTACTAAACACTGTGCAACTTTGAAAGAAAGCAGCTCGATTGGGGTTAGTGGGACTGCTGAACCCTGAAGTGAATTTTTAAGTTTCGTTAAGTGGGAATAGTTGAGATCTGTTGTCACGTACATGCGGGCTCGTAAGTCGTGGCTGGAGGGAGCTGCGGTGGAGCAGGCCTGAACAACGCGCTCCCCTTGGGGACACGGGTCTTTACAGCTGTGATAAATAACGCTCACATTTACAGCTGCGGTCCACCAAGTAATCACAGCCCAGACATTGTTGTAGGTGGAGGAGAAATGTATGTCGGACGGGTTATATATGTGTCATGTATCTTTAGCCAACACTGGTGATTTACCTGCTCCGTGGAGGGAGCTGGGCCGGTCGTAGCTGAAAACACAGCTGGTTGCCAAGCAGGACATCATGTACAAACTGTGTGTGTAGAAAGGCATGCAGCATCGATTTTCCCAATTCCTGCTTCGTTAGGGGGGGTAGAGCCGGACTCGCTACCAGTCGCTCTGCCTAAATAGAGTCCATGCCTCAGCAGTTACCCAGAACATTTGCTTCAAAGGACATTTTGTTTTACATCTTTTGGGAACATGACATTCTGTTCAAGCAAAATGTTTGGAGAGAATCAAGCCGTGGCAAATCGGGGTTCAGAAACCGCAGCCGTTGTTGATTGTGACCATATCAAAAGATCAGAAAGACCCCCGCTGAGTCAAATAAGCCGACAGCTTAACACGATAGAAATGACCAAACTTCTTGTGGGTTCACACCTCATTGCTGTCCTGGTCTGCTTCTTAGCTTCACGCTTCTGCTGCCATCTTGTGTCCAAACAAACCTTTTCACATTCGTATCTTCTCTGACTCGAGACAAAAGAAAAAGCTACAGTTAGCAGAATTAACATGAGTCTTCATGGACATTGTTAAGTTGACATGAGAAATTGTGTAAAAATGTTCAACCCCCAGCAGGTTTTGGGGGATTTTTTCTCTGCAATATGAAGTCCTGCTCCTCTATGGAAACAAAACAACCATGACTAGAAGTAGAGAGAACTCAAAACTGTCTTTAATGACATAATTATAATGAGTTAAATCATAAATAAATGGAAAAAAAAGGTTTTTTTTTTTTATTATTTCTTTTAAAAACTGGAAAAACCTGGAATCAACATGTACAACATTTTCCCTGCAGGTGTTCCTAATACTGAGTAAACGGTGACTCAACATACTGTAGATGTTTTACTGCTGACAGGGCGGCTGTGAGTCAGGTGGTGGAGCGGTTGTCCTCTGATTGGTTGACCAAAAAACAACATGCTTTTCAAACCTGATGGCAGGTTTTGGGGTTCAGAAAGCTAAAGCATGTCTGATGGGAAACTCTGATCTGTATGTTTGATTTAAAATTTCATGAAAAATACATAATTTACAGTATGCAGATTCTGTAAGAAACTAAAAATTCTGCAGATTTTGGTGCAACCACAATGCAATCGGTAATTCTGCTGCAACCAACAGACAGAAGACAACAACTCAGGGACTTTTCAGTTGAACTGTGTTCATACAGAGAAGACAGGAACAATGAACACTTGTAGAAATGTTGCACGTGTTCATTCCAGGTTTTTAAATTTTTATAAAACCTTTTTTTTTCATTATTTTGTGATTTATGGCACCATAACTTTGTTTTCCTGCACCAAAGACATTTTCGACTGCTCTCTGCTTCTAGTCATGGTTGTTCTGTTCCCATAGAGGTGCAGGACTTTATATTGCAGTGGAAAGTAAACTAACTGTGAGACACCAACTACCTGCTAACTGACTATTTACACTGATGTTCTTGTGCATCCACTTTGTTAACGACGCTCTTCCGTCTCTGCAGCCGTGGCCCAGCGTGTCCAACCTGGCCAAAGACTTCGTGGAGCGCATCCTGACGGTGGACCCCAGCGAGCGCCTGACGGCCGGCCAGGCCCTCAAGCACCCCTGGATCGTCAGCATGGCGGCCTCCTCGTCCATGAAGAACCTCCAGCGCTGTATCTCCCAGAACCTCCTGAAGCGGGCGTCCTCGCGCTGTCACAGCACCAAGTCGGCCCAGTCGACGCGCTCCAGCCGCTCCACCAAGTCCAACAAGGCTCGGCGGGTGCGCGAGAAGGAGCTGCGCGAGCTGAACCGCCGCTATCAGCAGCAGTACAACGGCTGAAACGGGCACCGGCAGCCGGCGGACCTTGTTTTGTTTTTGGAAGAAACGGCGCGACGAGTTCTTACGATGACTGCCACCGTTCTACGTTGCTGCCAGTGTTGGAGGCCAAGATGTGGCTTGTTGCTTTGAAAACCAAGACAGTTCACGGCTGCAGAGGTAGAGAGTTGAAAAGCGACTGCTGCCCCAAAAAAAAGACAATGAAGTCATTGCACTCGAACGGCAGCGCGTCTCCGGATGAGAACAAGTGTTGTTGTGCTACGTCATCTCCATCCACTCCTTCACCGTTTGTTTTCAGCAGGATGGTTCCTTCCACTCCTTTTCCTTGTGTTCTTTCAATCCCTGTGTCGCTACGTATTTATTTATTATTGTCGATGATTAGTCTCCATTCAAACGGTCACTGGATAATGACCTTCCACAAGATCTGTTGAACAGAGTTCTGGATACTGACATTTCTACGAAGAAGGAGATTCTTTAGAGGAGCGGGAACCAAAACTCCCGTCGCCTCGTTTCTGATTTCTGAAGAAAAAAAAAAAATTGCTGTGAATTTCTTGTTGTACTAAATGTACAGACCTTGTCTTAAGATGTGGGTAATCATATCACACTGCAACGTAATCACACCTTTGAAGGCCAAAATGAAGGCGTTTCGTTTGTTTGTTTGTTTGTTTTAGTCGATTCTAAGCTTATCTATTCTTGCCGTTATTTCTCCGTTGATATTTTACAACTGCTCTGAAAAGATTGTGAATCTGTTTTGTGTCAGTGTTTAACCTTAAATATGTTTTAATAGGTCACACAACCCCACTCCTGGTGATGGTACTTTCCTTAGAAGGACCAGCTGTGAGCCTGTCCCCTTCGTTTCTCTTCATAATAATAATAATTTATGGCCTTTAGTTTTGTTGTAACAGTGGCACATGTTCTCAGAGCATCAGCTACAGATGGTGGCTGCTGTGGGTTGCACCAGCTCTTTGTACATTCAGATTTTAGAAATCTATGTCAAATTAATTCAGGAAACTACAGGTGAACAGCATAAAAGATAATCTAATATCACCGTGAAACGTCCCCAGTTGTCGACTCGGTTTAGGACAATTATTAGGGTCCAAGCACCCAAAAGGGAAGACCCTATTGGAATTTTTATTATTATTCTTGTTTATGACAATGAGAAACATACTCACACAGGCACAAAACTTGGCACACACATCAGACCCGGCGAAAAGTTTTCAAATTAGGGGGAAATGCACACCTCAATAGAGAAATGGCTCAACAGCGCCCCCTAGAAAATTACGGGAAAAAAAAGGGTTTCAGAGCCACGGAATTCGACACACACATGTAACATGCCGAGACACACAAAAAAAGTCTCAAGAACACATACCCGAAACTCAACAGGAAGTCGGCCATTTTGAAAAAAAAGATTTTTTTTTGGCCATTTTCAAAATCTGTCTCCTCCTAGGGGGTAAGTCGTACACACCTGAAATTTGGCCCGCACAAACTACAGGAGGTGGTGATTAAACGTTAGTAAAACGGTCTGCAATAGTCTGACGGCGTGGAAATGGCGGCCAAAGCAATTTCGATCAGTGGCCATTTTGCCCATTTTGGCTGTGTTTCTGGCATTCAGCCGTCGGAAGGCCGTTTCAACTACACCTACCTATGTGTAGCAGGTTTTCGCAACTCTTATATTTAAATATGCAAATGCACTAACTTCATGTTCTGCAATTACTTCCAGAACAGAATCTGAATTATGAAGCAAGGTTCAAAGATCTTGTTTCACTTTTCAACACAGAAACTTTCCCTTTTTCTAACTGAAAATGCTACAGACAGGCATCAAAAGTCAATTTTCGCTCTGTTTTTAGGCATAAAATGCTCCATAAATCAGACTGTGAATGATTTATAAACGAACCCCTGTGTGCAAACCTTTAGAATAACTGTAGATTGTAATAAAAGTGGAAAGTTTGGTGTATGTAAGTGCAGATAGAGTGGAGATTTGTGGCTCAGAGTAGAAGAAAAAAGCGATTTTTGAGAAAACAATCCTTCAGTATAAGGTACGTATTTGAAATCTATAGATATAAAGAGGGACCGTACAGTGAAATAAACAGTTAAATGTGAGTTTTAGACATTTTCTTTCCCACTAGTCTGAAAGACGACTCGCTATGGAAGCAAAATATCAGAAATTCTCCAAACGTTTTGTGTTATTCAAAGTAGTTATTACGAAATATCTACACAAATTTGCTAATTAAGTGGCCCGTTTACACTAAGGGGGTAAAATAGTAAAGTTGACATATGGCTAAACAAAATGTTCAAAATGATGCAGGCTGGGAAAGTTTTAAATGATGTTTTCAAAAATGCTAATGCTAATTACAGTAAACTAAGCAATCCAGTAGCATTAGCAGAGTTAGCATCCATTCAGAACTTCATTAATATTACTCAACACTAATTCCTTTATAATACCAACATATCCTTTGCTACCTTAAAACATATTTTTGGAAATTATGCCACATGTTGTGATGCTACCATTACTTTCCAAGGAGTCCAAAGACTAGCTGAGCCATTTTTAGCTCTGAGAAGTTTCTAGTTTGAAACTAAAAATGCACATATTTGGTTCTAAATTTACAGAGCGTTGGTGCAACCCGGTCCTGAAGTCCTGCCATGTTTCTCAGCTAGCCTGTGTTCCACTAACATCTGCAACACTCTGGTTTTCTCATAAAAACTCCCTCATCAGAGGTGTTAGCATTTAGCAGTTCCCACCAGTCTTACTCACTGGTTTGCAAAGGAACTTAAAGGTAACTGCAAATTTTACTAGCTCACTTGACGGTTAGTATAAACTCATTTGGTTTAGAAAACGGGGTGAAAATCCGTCATACACGACATCAAAGCTGGCGGATCAGAGATTAGCTGAGCGATGAGAAGGCTGCGGACAGACGGGAGGTTTACTTGGGCTTTTAGCGGTTGCACAGTGCAGCAGCTTTGTGTTTGAACCAACCTAAACTGGTAAACAACATTTCAGAATGAAGGAAGCCACTGAAAACAACAGGAGCCTTTAAGAGGTGAATCAGAATAATTCACTTGATATGATTTCACAACATTCTGGTTCGCAGCTCTACAGTCGTATGCACAAGATTTTCTTTTTTTTTTTTTTCCACTTTGTAAGTAAGTGCACTTAAATCAGAAGAAATTCCACAGCCTCACTTAAGAAAGAGGCTGCTTCTTAACATTTCCATTGTCATTCCATTTCTTTGTTAATTTCTCAAATAATCGACTTGTTTTGTCTATAAAATGTCAGAAAATGTTTTTAAAAAGTTCAATCAGTGTTTCCTGGAGCCTAAAATCACCTTCATGACGTCTTGTTTACTGTCAGAGGAGGAAAGAAACCAGAAAGTATTGAATTTGACTTTTTTCCCCCCTAAAAATTACTCAAACTTAAATTTTCTGTCATAATAGTTGGTGAATAACAGGAAACAGCTAATTGATTAGTCGTAGCAGCTCTGTTAAAGACACTAGTTGATCAGGTTTGCAGTGTTAATGACAAAGAAACTTTAACATGCTTTTGTTCTACGTTCTCTCACGTCTGATATTTTAAATATTCTGGTCGTGTTGCACAGTTTAGAGCATTATTAATAAAAAGCTCTCAGATGAGGCTACACAAGTGGTACAGTGTGAAGTTTTATGAACAGATAATAATCCTCAACTGGCCAAAACAAAAACCTCACAAACATTCCAATATTTCCCAAAAGTAGTGCAAATTTTAAATATTCGCCACTAAAGTTGGGGGTTATTTGTCCTTTTTGCTATTTTCCTATCTGACAAAGCACTTCCTGTACAGACTTTAATTGGATTTTGTTGGTTTCTACGTGTTTGTTAAACTGTATTTTGTCCCTCCCAGAGCAGATCAGACGCTCCAGTGTCCTCTTTCTCTCTTTCCTCTTTCAGTGTTTTTGCTGTGATCCAAGCCCAGACTTAAAAAGTGTTGTTTGTGAACTTTTTAACGTGTACTGGAAACCTAATCGAGCCATGTCAGCTGACCTCAGTTTGAACTTTTCTTGTTCTCTTCCTGTGTTTTGGCCTTCACTTTTTTTCTGCTTTGTCGCCTTTTCTGATGCTTTCCGTTGTTTTGTTTTTTTTTTATCGTTTTTTCTTCGTCCTACTGCTGTTGTCCGTACTGATATCTCGCCTCCTGGGAGTCGATTGTAACGTGGAGCGAGGCTTTCATTAGAACCGGTACACTCAAATCTTCACTCTGTCTACCCAAAATGTGCCTTTTTTTTCACATCGAATGCACTCGGCAGCCTTTAAAGAGTGCATTTAAAACAATGTTAGTGTTCTTCACTGAGAAATCAGCTGTGGTCGTCTGAAAAAGACAGATTTTGGGTGAAGGATCTCGTCAAAGGTGTCGTACTTTCTGCAGCGTACAGTAGTTAGTTCATAGATGTTTTTGTTGTGTTGTGTTTGTGGAGAGCATAGCATTTTTGAACGTTTTGAGAATCACAAAGTAATCATTGGGACTCCGAGGAGCTGCCGCGGTCGAATTAGTCGGCACAATGAATAACCAAAATCCTTTTCTTTTTTTTTTTTGTTTGCAGAATGTCAGCACACGTGTAAAAGTGTTTTGGTGTTTTTATATATCTGTGTGATTTTTATATAAATGCTGTCGCTCCTAAATGAAGTAGCCAACTCAACACTGTTACCTGAAAACAGTCGTTTGTCGTCTCGTCTTGTTGTGTGTCGAAATGAATGATAACACTTTGATTTCTCTACCATTAACTTTTTTTTTTTAAATGTTTTTTTTTTAAACGGTGAGTTGTTTGTGCCAATAAAGCACTCGAACCTGAGTCTCTGCTCCAAGCTTTAGCCTCATTTACATGTCTGTATAATGGTGTTTATAGGAGTTAGATGAGAGAAATAAGACCATTACAGCATAGTAAAGTGTTTCTGTCCAGATGTACAGATGGAAAAGATTTACATTTATGTCCTTTTAAGGCAAGAAGGGATTATTTAAATAGAAAATACTTGGTGGAGACCAAAGCAGAGCTAAAAGGAGAGTGGGTTTGGACAGAGCCTAGAAATGAATTATAATGTCATTTATAGTTGCTGTTGTGTTGGCAAAGAGCTCTCTGATCAAATTTTTGACTATTTTTCCTCGGTGCTGAACGCAAACAGTGATTTCTGTTGTAAGAAATTACTTTTGGCACAAACAGGGAACACTGCCGACACAATAATGGCCTACATGTTTTCAGCCTATTAAGATTTCATTTACATGCTGCGGAGATAACGGACAGCGTATGGCGTTGCCTGTAATTGTTAAAATCTCCCGAGGAACAAGCACCGACAAGATTAATCGCAGTGAGAGCAGCTGAATATTAATGAAAAGAAACCAACTGTTCACAGGTCCTCGCTGCGTTTTACGTCAACGAAACCAACGTAAACAGTAGAAGATCTGTTTAAATGTCTAAATACTTCAGTTAGAGAGCATCTGTGCCACACTGAATATCATTATGAATTAATCCAAAATACATTCTGGTGGTGATCGCAGTCCTGATCTGAGTTTGTGTTTCACTTTATAATATGTGAAATACCTGAGACCTGCTAGAAGACTGTTCCAGTGAGGTTACGAGCTGCCACTCACAGATACTGGAACATTTTCCTCACTAAAACAAATCACCAAGTATAATATTTTTGACCTATTTGCCTAATTGGGTTACCATGATCTGCTTTTGCAACCTGTGTGAAAATATGATGACGTTTTAGGTCATATTTATGCAGAAATGTAGAAAATTCCAAAGGTTTCACTTTAGAATTCGTGGCCAGTCTGTCCAGCTGTTCTCATTTCAGTTTCTGCTCAAATATTGCCTGAAATTTTTATAGCATAAAATATGATTATTTAAATAGACGTTTGGGAACTTTTAGCTTGATATGTCAAATTGCCTTCAAGGAAAAAATAAAAATAAAAAAAAAAGCTTGTCGGTAGATTTTTTGGCACCTTGAAATTTTATTCCATGTTTATTATAATAATAATGAGAATAATAATAGTAATAACAATAATAATAATAATAACTTTATTCATATAGCAGCTTTAAGAACAGCATTCACAAGGTACTTTGACAGTAAAACATGCAATACAAAGACAATCAAGGAAGTGTTAAGACTTAAAAAAAAAAAATTAAGAAGAATTAAAACGAATTAAAAACATCACACCAAAAAACTAGGCAACTAAAAATTTAAAAAAAAATTAAAAATAAAAATAAAAACAAAACAAAACAGAACATGCTAAATAAAAAGGTGGATAGTGCATAAAAACAGGTAGTATTGAAGATTAAATTCAGTTATTTCTGATCATGCCATTGATTCAGAATCATTAAATAATGTCTGATTATGGGTGAGTTGAGATATGAAATTTAAAAAATTAGATTTGTCATGGAAAAAAGCCCCAACTTTGAGCTCACAATAACAATAAAACTAAAATGCAGAAGTCAGCTAGTGATATTTTCTGAACTATATGTAGCTGCGTGTCACAATAAAAAAAAATAAAAAAAAATAAATATTTGCTTACATATGAAAAAATAAGTTATTTTTGTTGAATTTTCATACCTGATTGAGCCCATGACTTCTGTAATACAGTATTTTAACTTTTATTTAACTTTTAATTTAGTTGTCTATCTATTTTTAGGGCTTGTGTGAAACTCTGGTAACGTTTTAAATCATATTTATGCAGAAATATAAAATATTCTCGCGGCTTCACACGCTGTTCTGCTGTTTTTCTGACGGTGAGCAGCGCCCCCTGCTGGCAGAAACGCAGCGCTGCCATGAGCGCAGCACTGGAGTGGGAGCTGGAGGCCCGCTGGGTTGCCAGGTTTGATAGAAAGCCTCACACTGAGATCCCCTGCGAAAGGAGAGAGGAAAGTATTCCCGGCGGTAGCGGGATTACATGAGAGATATTTAGCTCAAACGGTGTAGCAGTGTGGTCGTTTCTTTATCACTTTAACTCCTTTGCGGGGTTATTTCGTGGAGGGGAAGCTGATATAACCTGGCATCCCTCTGAACCCAGACGTCAGTGGTCTGCGGCTGTAGCGTGAGTTTGCTGCTAGCTTTTGTTCGAGCGACGTCCGAGTAGCCGCCGAGAAGCCACCGACACACCGATTAACGGAGATTTGACGACACAAACCGGCGTTTAAACGTGAATTCCGGCAGCTCGGTGAGTATATTTACACAGGAAAAACCCCCACAAACAAACCCCGCAGCAGCCGCCGTGAAACACTACCGAGCTAGCTAGCTAGCGATGTACATGTGATAAGTGTAATGCTGCTGGCTCTGAAAAACACATTAGCATGTCTGCTTGTTTACAAAACTCAATTTAACGTCAGCTTTTATGACGTTTTCCAAAAGGTAATTTATTATAACACAACCCTCTTCGCTTGTGTTTAGCTTCCAGCGTAGCATCTGCTAACGCTCGCTGTGTTTATGCTGGTAAAGTCACAGCTTTGTTTTGGTATTTGGCTTATTTAACCAGCTAATGTCGGTTTTTTAACTCTAAATATTGACTCCTTTGAGTAAATAATGTGTCACAGTAGAAATCGTTACACTCCTATTTAATGTAATTGTGCTCTGTGTGTGTGTTGTAATGGGACAGACAATACAGCTGTTATGTGCACTCTCTAATGTAAACTGCAGGCATTCAGGTGTGGGCTTCTGGTTTGCTCAAGGAGTCAACCGTGATCTCCACATAACACAGGGTCTGTTTCATTATTTGGGCTGCTATGTGTTCCTGCACCCACATGTGAGACAAGGTGGACGTATCAACAAAGCAGCTGCAGTTCACCTCCATCTGTTCAGTATTTCCCCTCCACCCCTGATTGAAGCCACATTGCACTGATTGACAACACTGCTGTGGAGCTCATCTGATGGAGGAGCTGCTAATCTTTGCCTGGAGCTGCTTTGATGTCATTTTTGTGACTTATATGGAGCTGCAGAACAAAACCTGACATTGTGATGTTTTGTTTTTGTGCGATATGAGAAAATACAGGAGTTTTCACCAGATGACTTGAATCAGTGCATTTGAAAGTGTTACTTGTTCTTTAATGGTCTTTAGGATTAGATGACTTTATGATCTAGCTTTGAGATTGCCAAACTTTGTGGTGCTCATTTAAGTGGTCGAACAAATTGCAAGACACCACTAGCAGAGTACCTGTATTTTGCTCATATTATCCTTTCTATAGCTGAAATATTTCCTTATTTGTGCAACCAAATCTTTGTTTTTCTCTGCCGTTACTTGCTCATTTTGCACGTGGATGTCCACAAAGTCTTTAAAAGAAAGTTTAAAAATTCAGTCTATATAAGAACCCTTCCATTGCAGCACATAGTGTTCTGTCTGACAGACTTTTTGTATTCAGATGCAGTTTTCTTTTTGTATTAAGCAGCATAAAAAGGTTAAATGTGACGATTGCACATGTGCACAACGCTGAAACCATAAACCGTGCAGCCCCTAACCTCCAGCATTCTGCCTGTCCTGTTATTTTCCTGAGCTCCACCATCTTTTTGCTGATTGATAACCCTGCTGTGGATCTCCTCTGATTGGGGTGGGGGGGTTCTCTCTACCTACTAATTATTTTCCCGGAGGTTTGATGTCATTTTTGTGGCTCGGTGTCATGTTGACACAAGTGGTCCCAGCCTGTCTTTTACAGCCCAGCCCTAACCAGCGGGACTATTTTTACAGCCCTGTGTCTAAACCAGTGGTAGTTTGAGCGCTGCATTGTCATCTCTCACAGGCGGAGATCCTGCCCCGAGCCGGAACTAGTGATTGATCCCCCCTCCTGTCAGGCTAGACCAGCCAGGGGCTTTTAATTACAGCGTCTGCACCCATATCTGAAGTATTTGTCTAGTGTATCATTAAGACTGAGCAGGGGGGGGGGAGGCATATGACCACACACGTACAATGAAAATAAGCCTGGGGAGAAGTTTGTGTAACTTCTGATTGATATAAAACTAATGTGTCCTTAATGTGCGCTTCCGTGTTTTCTGTACAACACAGAGGAAACTTACTCTGAGTTAATAATAATTTTAGTAGTATACCACTGGGGTAGCACACTGCCGTCCTTGTTCCTGAAAAAGCCACATTTACCACATTTTAGTCCGAGTGAAACAGATCACTCCCTGCACTTGGGATCTTTCCAAGTTTATGCATATTAAGAGTAACTTGATGCTCAGACTTCAGAGACGGAGAGCTTCACATGTTGGCTGTGATTTTTCCCAGAAGTCGCCGGCTTCTTGTGCAAAACTAAACATTGTCGCATGACTGGAACGGGATATTTTTTATTCTTTAACTTAAAAGGCTTCCTAGAATGTTGTATAAATAAACCTACCACTGTGATCTCTGTAGGAGATAAGGGAAAACCTAATGACTGCATCCTTTGGAAGTTTCTGAGCGTCACATTTTTACTCACCGTGATCTCAGTTTTCACTGTGATGTAAAGTCCTGCACTGCTATGGAAACAGCATAACCATGGCTACAAGGACAGAGAACCGAAAACATGTCTTTTGTGCGGTTTTATAAAGTTATAATGCCATAAATAGTAAGAAAAAGGAAAAGACAGGATGTGAATTTCTTTGACTATTCGTGCTAAAATTGAAAAAACTTGGAATCACCATGTACAACATAATTCCGAGTGCATTCAGGTGTTATTAATGCTAAAAAAGTGGTGACTCTACGTTCTAGAAGTGTTTCACGGCTTCACTTTTAATTTGTTTGTCTCCTGTTTACTTTATGCAGCCTGAAGTTTAGCCAAGTTCTGCTAAAGAGGCCCAGAAGTTTTGTTGTGTTGCTCTCTGTGAAGTCACTGATGGCTTTTCGCTGCTCTGAGGAGTGAAGAATTTTTAGTTTTTTACAGAAGCGCTTTATCTTTTGCATCTTTTTAAATAAGACATGAAAAAAAAAAAACATTACGATGCCATATCATGATGTTAAGCTTTGATTTAGTGAAATTTTAACGGCACATTACACACGGTTGAGTCGAGGACTGTGATAAATGGTGTAATTTTGTAGATTTCTTTCTTCTTCTTTTTTTTTCTTTTAAGCCCAGCTTAGAGGTTCAGAGGGTTCAGCTAAACTCGAGCGCTTTGATGAACAAAAGCAGCTATCTTCACCACAAGTACACCGTGTCGTTGAACATAATTCAAACTTGTTTACAGACTGCTGAGTCCTGTAAATCTACTTCTGTTTATTTTTGCTTCTTTTCTACATAGCAATCCAGCCAACGACAATAGCACGTTTGCTTTCAGGCAGCTGACAAACACTTTGACAATAATGGTTGGGGTGTTTGACGTGTTTTCGTCCAATAAAGGGAGTGTTTGATTTTTTTTTTTAGTGACAGCCTGACAATAGAGTCATGCCTGCTTGGATAAAATAGACTGTAGCTGCATGTGCTGCACACGCATGTGCTGCTGGCTGCGTAGCTGCACGCTCCCATCTGGAACATGTCGCACACGTGCAGCAGTCAAGACAGCAGCTGGTCCAGCGCACACGGCAGTCATTAAGTGGGTTATGTGAAGCCTTATCGATAGCATGAATCCTCCAGATGACGGTGGTTGGGCTTTTAATGGATCAGTAAAATGACACATCTCTGGTATTACTGTGTCCATCTAAAGGCTGCGCAGGAAGTCGAGTTGTGTAACCTGCTCCGGACCCTCGGCACAAAGCAGAGCGTGGTCAATCAGTGTGTGTGTGTGTTGTCGGTAGCTGTGTGTCTGTGGGTGTGTATTTCATTACTGGGTTGTCCGAGCCTCGGGGCCAGAAGGAAACGATCCCGTACCTGCCCAGAATTCCTCTTTTGATGCAGCCCCGGAGGAGGCTGAGGGGAGTCATATATCACGCAGTTTCAGGTCAGTCAAGCTGTTTCTGGTTTCTGGTGAGTCTGCGGCATGTGTACGTTGCGTGCCTTCTCGGTAAGCAGGTGTATGATGGGATGCATTGCAGCTTAACACTTTCTAATGAGGCTTTTGTAGTTTTAAAGCAGCTTACAGGCTGTCAGCTCCGCGTTGAGTTCTTGTATAACTCAGCCAACCGTGTCATCCATGCAGGTGAGATAAAGTTTTTATCTCGGCGTACGTGCTCTATCTAGCAACAAGGCTGCTTCCCCGAGGGCAGCAAACGCTCTTCATGAGTGGCTAAATGAGGAAGGAGTGGTTATTACCACAGCGTTCATCTCTGTGCACCCAACGCCTCCCTTCCTTCCCCCCCTGACACAGCAGAGGAAACACTCTGTTCTCTACAGGACGGGACAGAAATGGAAACAAAAGCCTATGTAATGCTGTTTTCCTAAACCTAGGTGGGTGTGTAGGGTGAGAAAATAAACTCATTTGTTATTTTGTGCCGCAGATGGTTTGTCAGTTAGCAGCAAATGTGGAAAAACACCTGAATGGCTTTCTTTGAGTTCACACAGAGCGAAGCGAGCGACCCGAGGCCAAGGAGCAGCTGAATAGATTAAACCTGACTGACGTACATATTATCTGCATTGCATATGTGTTGGCAGATATGCAAAAAGATATTGCAGTGCAATAAAGTGCAGCAGTAAGTGTTTTTATTGCCTGTGTTTTTTTTATGTATATCCGCCTTATTCTTAACCCAACGCTACCTTTGCATGAGTTCTTCATGGTTTATTCATTTGCACTGAAGCGGCGTCTGCAGGATGTGCTACAGGTGTCCTCACGGTTCTAGAGGGGTTTTTTCATAGGAGCACAACCTTGTACATGTTAAACTTAATAATAGGACCATTCCTCTTCCTCTAGGAGGGGATGGGAGGATGATAAAGTGGCCTTGAATAATATATTTAGCCACCTTATTGATTCTGTTGCTTCCGACCGTCGGCGGCGGTGAACAATCTCAAGCTCTGGGGCTTGGCGTTATTTCAGCAGCAATAATGTTGGCCCTGTTTTTTTTTTTTTATTATTATTAAAAGAGGCGAAATAGAACCTTGTCTTGGTTTAATGCAGTCCGCGGCCACTTCTCCAGGTAGCCCTTCTGAGTAGAAAGAGTCGAGGTTTCCTGTTAAAGGGTAAAAATCTGAAAACAAAAAAATGAAGATTCGTGTTCAGAATAAATGGAAGTTGTGCCAGAACAAGGTGGAGATTAAAGCCCGGCTGATTATTGAGTTTTCTTTGGACCAATGCTCTTTTTAGAGTGTAAAAAAATTCCATTATTGATACGTCAGCAGGTTTTCTTTACAGTATTCTTCACTAACAGTAGGTTCTCTGCTACATGTGCTGCATGCAGAGCTGAGAGTGTTGTGAACAATGGATTCAGACAAACTATGTGATGAAACCAATAACTCACAATGTCTTTATGTTCTGTTTAAAAAAATCAAGACAGGAGAGAGAGTCTAATGGCACATGTCCATATGTGAATTGACCATACCTACTTATATATGTCTTTATGTCTAGCTTTATTGTGCTTTTGTAATTCTTCTTTTGTCTGATTTGTATCGAGCTGCTGTAAAGGGATCAATAGAGTTTAGTTTATCTTATCCAGCTCAACACATACACCAATATCACTTTATATTATTGGCTGATTGTTTGGTGTGACTGATACACTGGTCAGGCTCTAGTGGCTATTTTTCTTCCATCAGTTTTATATTAAGATTATATAACATACATCCATCCATCATCTACACACCGCTTAATCCTCACTAGGGTCATGGGGGGCTGGAGTCTATCCCAGCTGACTCAGGGTGAAGGCAGGGGACACCCTGGACAGGTCACTAGTCTATCACAGGGCTACATTTAGAGACAGACAACCAAGCACACTCACATTCACACCTACGGACAATTTAGAATCACCAATTAACCTCAGCATGTTTTTGGACTGTGTGGGAGGAAGCCGGAGAACCCGGAGAGAACCCACGCTGCACGGGGAGAACATGGAGACTCCACACAGAAAGATCCCGGTGCCCCCACCGGGACGCGAACCGGCGACCTTCTTGCTGCGAGGCAACAGTACTGATTTTATAACATTCAGGAGAAAAAATATCCTTATTATCCTTTTACAGGATGAAAATCAAACACACTTTTGTTCAGTTGTTACGGCTAACCAGCTTCATCGTCTTGTATTTGCTGCTTGTGGCCCCACGTTCATTTATTTTTGCTTTTTATGGGTTTTATTGCCATTTATTGACTATAATAATATAAATGTATCACGCATCTATAAGAAATCCTGCCCCAGATATCTGTTTAGAACTTTTCTGTAAGATTCATTCATGTTTTTTTTATGTAAAGTACAACACAGCAGATGATTATGATGGACTGTAATTACATCTTAATGTAGTTTTTTTTTTTGTTTTTTTTGGTGTTCTGGCCTCAGAACAGTGTCGCTCTGTTCTATTCTGGAGCTTGGATTTCTGCCATCAGACGCAGATTGTTTTGCAGCCACAGCTGTGAAACTAATGGACTCTTAATTCCGCATTTCAGAGCGTGTGTTCGCGGAATCAATTCTCAATTAATCTCGACTGATGGAATTAATGTCGGTGGGCGTAATGGCAAGTTTTTAAATTGTTCAGCGCCGGTACGAGTTGTTCCCTCCGAGTGCTCTCTGCTTGTTATATATCGTATTGGCGTTACGGGCTTGTAGCTCTGTTTGAATGTCAACGAGCTTAGTTGTGACTATTCATTTTGGTTGTTTTTTTCCCCTCACAGATAAACACAGAAAGGATCGCAGAGGACAACCAGCATCTTTCTCCATCGCTGCTCCCGACATCCGCCCTGCTTTCATCCCAGTCGCCTTCCTCCGCTAGTTATCGACATGGCGGCTTTGCTCCTACTCTGGCAGTCCTGCTGAACCGCCGCCCTGGACTACCACCATGGAGCGAAAACGCAGAAAGAAATTAATCTAGCTGCTCGGGCCCTTTGCAGTATGGACTCATTTTTAGAGCTGTGGACCTGAAACGCTCTGTTGACCCTGAACCAGGCGCTAGCTGCCGGCCTCGCAGAAGGGCCTCCAGGGTCGAAGTGATGGCTCGCACACTACTAAACATGCTCCTGGTGTCTGCGTGGGCGTCCGTGCTTCTGGTGCTGCTGGGGGGCTTCCTGCCGCTGGTGGGGACGGAGCCGGAGGGCGGAGCCAAATCTGGCTCAGACCACGCCCCCGACTCGGAGCCCCTCCCCTCGCCGCCTGGCTCCAACTGCTCCCAGTTAACCCTCAAACTGGAGTTCTCCTCCAAGGTGGTGGAACACGGTAAGAAGCTGGTCGCACTGGTGGATGTGGTCTTTAAAGAAAATCCGGTGTTTCCAGGGGAATTTCTTAATTTTGTTTAATTGGGAGTGTGTTTAAAAGAAACAAAACAATTGTCGGAGAAATGCGGAGTATCAAATCTGATAATCAGACCGGCAGGTAATCCATTGATCACCATTTCACAGACACACAAAATGACTTTTTAAAACTTATTATAGCGCCTTACAATGATAATACCTTTAGTACGTGCATATTTCTGTGTTTGTATACAGTAGGTAGATAAGGTACTAGTATGATTTTTTTATTTTTATTTTTTAACAATTTGCTACATAAATGAACTAATCTTAGTAACAAATATTATCTGTGTACCCAGAGTCCATTAAAAACACATCTTTGAGTTGCACTGGGTGACACTTATCTTTACTTGCACAACATATTTTTCATCATGAACAAACTCCAGTGCAACAGTGTGGCTCAGGGATTTGTTTTTAAAAGGAGGAATAAGCTAAATTAGCTTTAAGATGCAGTAACTGGGATCAAGTTATCTAGCTTTATTTTTTTATTTTTTTTAATGGTATTTGTTTAAGAAAAAATATGGAAAATAAAAAAAGTCACCCCTTAATTTTGATGCCAGCGAATATCAAGTTGGTATGTCCTAGTTAAAGGAAATAATCTTTTTTTTATTGCTGATCAAGACGTATATTAGAAGATTATTATCACTGTCTGGGAAGTGATTACACATCTATAAATGTCTTTATCGTATGTCTTATTATCTTTATGGTGCAATCGTTACACGTGTTAAACAAACCAGACATAGCGACCTAATTAGTGAGAGTTAAAAGCGCTGGCAGGGCGATTGTTTGCTACCTTTGGACACAGTCTAGCTATATGCTGACCTAGTTCCAGTTTTTATGCTAAGCTAAGCTAACCAGTCGCTAGAGGTGGCTCCTCATACAGGATAGAAACATGAAGATGATATTCACCCTGCTCGTGGCAAGAAAAGGGAATAAACCTGCTGCTCAGAGTGTCAAAATAACCGTGGTGCGAATGCAAGTTTTCAAAATTGAAGGAGGAGAAATTGCTGACGTTACAGTTCAAAAGTCCGTTCAAAGTCTTAGAAATGTAAGCAGTAGAAAAAAATCTAAGATAAACATGAGCAGAAATTTGTGTTAAAAATGAGAACATAAGTAGAAAAGTATAAGCTATCTAGTGCAATTATTTTTGGTTTATTTTTTTTAAAAGAATAAAAAGGATTTTGATGAAATGTCGGGATTTAAAGCTGATTCATTTGGTTAATTTTCCCAACTCGACCATCACGGTTGAGAAGAACCGAGTTTCTGGCTCTAATTGGTAGAATTTGTATGATTTTTGTTTGTTTTTTTAAAAGATAGCATGCCTGTCAACCCCTTAGGTGGGTTTTGGGGTGCAGAGGGTTAAATAAAGTTTGATTTAGCAATAAAAATGAACAGTTTAGGGAGTCTCTAATTGGCAAAGTTTCCCAGTAATTCTCTGTCATTGCCAACACAGAGGCTACTGGGGCAAAGCTACGTGAGCACAGAAAGCAGGAGTTAGTCCACCGTCACAAACTGGGTTTGATGTGAGCATATGACAACACACTCCAGTGTCAGTTACGTTAAATCATCGCTGCACCTGTGTCGTTACTCTGAACAGTTTAGAGTCTAACGCTCCCCGTGCAGGTATTGTATTCTGCACAACTTGATATTCAGGCTCCGTCGGCTCGTATTAATATGGCTCAGATTCCTCACTAATACAGGAATTAGCAAACTGACTTGTTTGTCCAGTTTGGGAAACAAACAGATGGTTTTGTTGTTGTTTTCAATTAATCATCTATATCAGAAATCTGATTACATACATAAAACACCTGATTCCACTTCATTCATAATAGCAGACAATGACCAGAGATTTCTCACAGTGTCATGCTTTATTGATTATTGTATATTTTTGTTTTGTTTGTGTGTTCAGGCAGCAGAATGAACTTTCACTGGATCTGTTGACGTGTTGCTCACATGAATACACATTGACTGTGTCTGAAATCAGCCACGACACACTATGTAGCGTGTTCACCGTCGTGTACTGCTGTCTGAATGTTAAGTTAGTGTTGTTACACCTTATGTAGTGCACGCAAACTGTCCTACAATGCACCGCTAAAATTATGTACAGCCAGTGGTCTGTAACGGAGGAATATGTACCATCATGCATTGCGTCAAAGGAGAACGGCAGACGGATAAGAGAGAAAATCGGTTGCATTTCCACAGATTTCTGACAATATTTTATAGTGTTAAGGTGTATTTTTTATAGTGTAAAGACATTTTTTTTACAGTGTGAAGATATTTTGTTGTATTAAGATGGATTTTTTTAAAAGTGTAAAGACATATTTTAATGTTAACACATATTTTTAAGTGTGAAGATATATTTTATAATGTTGCACCATATTTTTTTATAGTGTAAAGACATATTTCATAGTGTTAGGATGTCTTTTTTTATAGTGTAAAGACATATCGTGTTAAGATGTTGGGGTTTTTTAGTGTAAAGATGTATATTTTAGTGTGAAGACATTTTATAGTGTTGCAACATATTTTTTAGCACATAAAGATGGATTTCATAATGTTAAGACCTACTTTATAGTACTAAGATGTAATTTTTTATAGCATTAAGACGTATTTTACAGACTTCAGATGTGTTTTTTTTTTTTTGGATTACATCTCGTGTATGTGTGTAGCTCATCAAAATGACAACACACGAGTTACGGCGCAAAAATAACACAATTAAAAATAATAATTCATATTGATGTGTTCAGTGGAAGTAGAGTGATGCATCACAACACAAAGAAAAAATGACTTTTATGTATTAACTTTCAAAAATACACTCAGTATAATGAGTCGATCAATAAAATGCCGCTACTGCAGCCGACATCCATCTGATGGGTTTTAACTGAGCAGCAGCACTGATGTAATTAATAGAGAATAAACTAGAAAAATGTAGAAAGTGTTGGTTTTGCCGAGAAGCTCCATATATCATATAGTTATATGGTGGTCCCTAGATAGGCAGTAGGGATTTCAGACACAGACATTGTTTATTTGCACTCTTTTTTTCTAAAGCGCTGTCCCCTCTCTGTCTTTCCAGAGTACATCGTAGCGTTTACAGGGTATTTCTCAGCCAAAGCCCGCAGCCTGTACATCAGCAGCGCCCTGCGGAGTGCCAACGACGGCGCCCTGGAGTGGCACATCGTTCCCAGAGAGAACCCGGCCTCCGACTTTCCCAGCGACTTCGAGCTGCTCCACATCCGCCAAGCTTCGCGCCGCAGCCTGCTGACCTTAGAGGACCACCCTTACATCAAGAGGGTGACGCCGCAGCGCAAAGTGTTCCGCTCGCTCAAATACATTCCCTGTGAGTCCCCGACAATGCGCTTGTTATCGTGGCGGGAATAAGGATCGCAGTGTTTCCCCGGCGTTGGCACGTCGGCCCAAGAAATATAGAAGACACAGAGAAGCTGCGCCGCTCACAGAATGTCTCTTTGTTTGCTCGGTCAGAGGAGGCATTTTCTCTCCCCGCTGTGATTGTGGCGTACAAGAGGATTGTATATCTTAACGTGAAGCGCAGGCCAACTTTTGGGGGTGTTGATGCAGGCCGGGGTGAGGCGGTGTCGGGGGGAGGGAGGGGAGGACAGAGGACGTCTCTGTGCTTGCTCACCCTGGGAGGGGAGTAGGTGAGTCAGTGTGGTGAGGTTCGGCTGGATGAGGAGGGGGCACACCCTGGGCCTGGCGCTGGATGAAAGACCACAGTGTGCATCTACGCATGCAGTATCAGTGTGGAGGCCGTGTGCAGCGAACGCAGCTTCACACACCATTATTTAACCTTTTTAACGAGCA